AAGAGTAAACAAGATCCAAAATGTACAATGGTTATTGTGAAATGGGAAGAAACTTCAAAAGGAAAGAAAAATTGGGAAGGAATGAAAAGGGAAAGAAGGGAAAAGCAAAAAAAAAAAAAAAAAAGTGTGTGTGTATGTGTGAAAGATAAGATACTGGCTAGGGAGATGGCTCAGCTGAATAAGCGCTTGCCTGGCAAGCACAATGGTCTGAGTTCAATCCCCAGCTCCACAAAAAAAAAAAAAAAAAGATAAAGATACTTATACTATTTCTTTCAGTTCATTGAAAAGAAAGGTTTGGGCTAATATTTGGACAATTAAATGTCAATATCTTATACTCTGAATAAAGATAACAATACACAATGTATTAACCATCATCACCCTATTATCTTGTTTTGAAATTTTGTTTTTCTTCTCTTTAAAATAATTTATTTTTAAAAACAGACATTAACAGCTGCCATTAGGAGCAGTGGAGGGAGACAGACCTAGGTGTAAGTGACGAGTGCAGCTCCCGCATCAGCATCTGACGCCCTTGCTGCTCCAGCGGCCCTGGCCAGCCTCCTGGTGACGGCGCTGTGGAGCAGTTCTCCAGTGCTTGACCATTTCTTCCTGTTCTGTTCTTCAGTTTGCTTGTTTCTCTATAAACTGTGATACAATTTAATCTAAGAAAGTGTTAGAGTAAAAATTTTGCTCTTTCCTCTCACAGTTACTTCTTAGATTTTTTTTCCATTCCTTTTCACCCACTCACCACCATTGACCCAGATCCCACCAGAATTGCTTGCTAGCAAGGAGACAAACCCAGAGTCATGGACAGAGGAGGGCCTCTATAAATCTTGTTAATCTGGAAGTGATCCCCAAGCCACAGTTTGTAAAACACCATTTTATGAGAAAAGAAGATGGGATGAAGACAGAAAAGGACACCCTTGGAAACAATAATACTGTGGTGTGACCACAGGATTGGATGCCAGGAGTCATGAGTTCTAATCCTAAATGGATTTCCCAAGGCACAGTGGCAGAGCTGAATGGAAAAGTGTAAGAGAAAGCCCTCAGCTACTTCTTCATTCATCTCCCCAGCAGCCCTTCACCACATGTGGGCCTTCTGTGTCCCAGCCACTATAAGTGACCAGCAGCACATAGGGACAATGGCCTGTGCTCTGGAGAGAGGTGAGTCATAAGAATGGGCAGGACAAGCAGGAAGAGGGGGCTTCCAGTCTGTGAGCTGGAAGGGATCCCTGGGAAAAGATTGCATTGCAGCCAGGTCTTTAAGAAAAAACTAGGTGGGCCTTTGACTGTGGAGATGTGTAGGGAACATTCCCCAGTCCAGGCATTGCCCTGACAATGTTTCAGAACCCAGAGGACATGGAGAAAAGCTTGGTACCAGGCAGGGCACATGCTGAGAGTGTGGTCTCTCCAGGGCTTGGACTCCTAAGGATTTCTCTTATGCTCAGTAAGGAGTCAACGAAGGCTTGGACCATTCATGTGCTCTAAGATGGTTAATCAGCAGCAGTCCTAACCAGAGAACAGTCCCCATCCTGTGGCCCAAAGTCAGAGAGGCAAGCCATGACGAAGCATAAGCAAATGCTCTGGAGACTGCAGCTGCTTCCGGCTCCCAGGAGGTGGAGATGTGGCTACCTGAGGAGGCAGGGAGGCAGACTCCAAGAAAGGGTACAGGAGCAGGAATTCTTTCTGTGCTTTTGGTACTTTCTAGGGCTGTGAGCCAGGTCTGAGGGATTTTAAGAGGCTTTTCGTTACTCTTCCTGGGTCCTTTTCCTACATAATACACATGATCTGAAAAGTATGCTGTTGCTTTAAAAAGTTGTGCTAAGCCCTTCAGTCACGTGCCTTCAGGGCCTTGGTTACATAACACTGCTCTGGATTGGAATTCTGCAGCCTCATGAACTAGAGTGTTGTCCTCTCCTTCCCCTACCTGGCACTTTGTTTTCTGTCGGTCAGGGTTAGCTTCTTTCTAACCATTGTTGCAGAACTCTTTCAATATTTGGTCTCACAGGTTGTAAACGTTGGCAGGCCAGGCTGCTCCCTGCAGGTTATGAGCCCAGAGCCTTCCAGAAAAGGAGCCAGCAACATCCCAAGCATGGCAGCGCGTGCAGTAGCCAACCTGACAGTGCCACCAGGCCCCCAGTCCAGCCTCTGGCACCAGACCAGGAGGAACCCTCCTGCTCCACAGCGCGTGATGACAGCAGGTCACATTGCTGGCTCTCAACACTAAGGACTGGGGCCTGTCAGGGTCACTCACTGCCACGTCCTCGACTCTCCCTGCCTGTCCCTGGTGCAGAGCTTTTAGAGCTGCAGCTGCGTTGGAGCCTTGTTGGGAGCTTTCTGGCTCTCACATCAAGCTGGTTCTCTGAGGCTGGCTGGCCCACTTGCCCCAGTACCCTTCCACGCTTGATTCTGAGATGCTATAATTCCTCAGTGCGCATGTGTATTTGTTTATAGCCTGCATTTTTTGTTTGTTTTCCAGAAATGACTTCAAATGGCTAATTAAGTACTCAATCTGGTGCAATAACTTCCTTAAAATTAGGAAAGGGTGCAAGAAGCATCTTCGAGTAGGAAAACTAGGAATAGCCAGAGGAAAAGTTCACAAAGTTCAAACTGCAAATAAAGTTTTCTAAAAGCAATTTACAAAAATGCTTTCTTCTGAGTTTCTTAGCAGCCAAGGCAAAAAGAGCAACTTAATGAGAAATACAATTCAATCATCTGTGAGATGCAGCCCGGCAGCTCAAGAGGCTATTTCTTGCACTGTATAACCTGCCCCCCGCCCCCCGCATACCCTCTATCTGTGCTGGGGGAAGAGCATCACATGGCCACACAGGCTCCTGCTGTCATCTGCTTCTTGCAGTGACAGTGCAGCCATTTGGGGGCTTATTGTGATGTCTGCTGAGGGTAGGCCTGGGGACAAAGATGCTTGTAGGCCAAGGCCCTGCTGAGGCCATGCAGGGTATCCAGAACAGGTCTTGCCTTTTAGGCCTGCACAGGAGCCTTTCTCTGGGGAGATGCTCAGTGAGGGGCAGACAGGCCTGGCAGAAGCTGTTAGTAGCAGGTTATATGGAGAGGCCATGAGGAGTCCTGTCATTAGGGAGCCAGTCCAGCATTTGCCACACTTTAACTAAACAGACATTGTTACCAGGCATGGTGGTACATGCCTGTAATCCCAACTCTCAGAAGGCTGAGGCAGGAGGATCTGTGTGAGTTCAAGGCCAACCTGGGCTACATATCAAGATCTTGTCTTAAAAAGACCCCCCCC